GGTGGAGAGACAAGTGGACAGTAAGTAAGGACACAGGTGAGTCACTCAAGGTCATAGCAACAAAGAATAGAAACCTCCCTGGCTGGGCCAACTCCAGGTGTGGGGGCAAGTGAGAAAGGATTACGCTGGCTCGGGGAAACCCATGGGGAAGTGCCAGCTTCCGGAAACAGGTGCTCCTCAGTCTGTAGTGCCTGGGGTGAAAGTGCAGTGGGTCTGCCTAGCTGAGAAGCAGCCCGAGGGGAAGGAACGGAAAGCTCCCGGCCAGCACATCGCCTCCCAGGAGGCTGAGCAGACTCCCTGGTTCAGTGCAGGGGCTGTTTCTCAAGAAAGGAAGCCTGGAAAGAGAGAGCATGTGGCCTCTGTCCTCTCTGGTCACTCACAGCTCTAGTTACTCCCCTCCTAAAGGCCAAAGGGGGAGGAAGTTGGAGGGTGACAGGTTGGCAGCCTATGGTGTGTCCCTTTCCAATAAATCAGGCAACATCCTAGAAGACGCTTTTTTTCTTTGGGAAATTCCTGGAACAGGGAGGGACCTCATGGACAAAAATGCCACATAATGAAAATACAGAACAACAAAAACAACAAAGTATAACCAAAGAAAAAGTAAAATATAAAACCCTGGCAGGGCCGCCCTGCAGTCTATGCCAAAAATGCATCTCTGTGTCTCACAATCCATTCACGGACTCAAGGCCAGTTGAGTCTGTCCTCCCTTGCAGCTGTCCTGGTCACAGTGGGCTTGTGTTTGCCCCACACACCAGCCTTGGAGCTGTTAAGCTCTCTCTTGTCAGGAATGGATGTGCCTTTACATTGGACAATGCCCATAAATTCTTAGAACAGTGACTCTGAGTACTATCAACACCTGGAAAGTTGAGGCCCAGAGGGGCCCCTGGGAAGTGCTCAGAGTTACACCTCTTGGAATCAGGGCTCTAGGACAGGCATTCAGGCCATCTGAGGGCATGGCCCATGTGCTTAATCAGTGTGCCAACCCCAGAGTGGGGGCTGCATTGCTTCATTTCTCAGATGAGCATGGCACCCAGCACTGTGTTTTCATGGAACAGGTGTCTATATATTTGTGCATCCATGCAAGAGACTGCAGAAACGATGTCTTCTAGCACTTTAAGCCCCTGGTTTATTTTCCCCCGTTCAATTCTCCTTGTCTGGCGTTTACTCAGAGCTACTTATGCCAGGACTGCCTTGGATGGTTCCCCCGCTACTATCTCATTTAACCCTTACTCCAGTCCTGGGAGATTTATATCATTGCTACCATCTTAGAGATGAAGAAACTGAGGTTCCAAGTGGTGCATGGTTCTGTAAGCAGCAGAGCATGGCCTCAGACCCAGAGCTGTCCAGCTTCCAGCCTAGTTCTTTTTCTATCACCACCCGTCCTGGCTCTCCCTTCCCTGGCTTCTGATTATCCTTCCAGGTGTTTGATTTCCCATTGAGGCCAAGAGTCCCTGTAAGGCAAGGACCTTGACTTTCAGGCCTTGCTAACCTTTCTTGGGGCTGGGTGCACACTTGTGACTCCATGTAGCCGTGAGCCAGCCCCCCAAGTTCACATCCCCAGAAGCTGGCTTCCTGCACAGTTGCAGCTACGCTGCTGCAGTGTCTGAAGGCACCTTCTGAATCATCAGGCTAGTTTCAATTTGAAACTTTCCTACCTATTTTCAGTAGGTTTACGGTATTCCTTTGAGTTATTTAGAAGAGGAAACCATGCAGAAAGTACTGCAATAGACCTGGGCCCATGAGACCCAGGAGCCCCCTCCCCAGGCCATGACCTGAGGCAAAGCACTTAACTTCTCTGTGCCTCAGTTTACACATCTGTAAAGTAGAAATAATGAATGATGGTAGTACAAGAACTATCCATCCATCCTACCACCCATACATCCATTCAACATGGTTACAACTATGTCAATCACACTCAAACTTTATGGCCACCCTGCACATGCTGTATCCTGGTGCTTGTGCCCTGGGCTAGACTTTGGGGGTGTATCA